GAGGTTATCATGTGGAGCCTGCGTAAATAAACGGTTCAACGTTGGACGACGCGACGCGGGGATTGACGGTGTACACTCGCGTCACCTGTTACGGGTCAATATTTTGCGATCAGCGATCAGTGGAGATGACGCGGTAATTTTGTCGAGGTACTGCGTTGGAAGGGGTCGCTAATTTAGAGAAGTGACACGAGCGATGTTATCTGAGAGATTCTGATCGGTTTTCGGTCCTTTTTGGGAATATTAACACATTGCGTACCGGTTACGAGAAATCTCGTTTTTATATGAAGACACTTAGCTATGCAACTTCGCTGATTACCACAGCATTGAAAAAAATATAAAATTTAATTCGAATTGATTATCTATTTAAAATATATTACATAGCAAAATGATATCTGAGTTTTTCTATGTATAGTGATATAAGTGGACCTCAGTGAAAATTGCAATCCGCACAATTCAGTTTTCTGAAAATTAGCCGGTACGCAATATATTAGGATATTCGGTGTTTAGTTCGTTTTGTTTTGTTGTTTGATATTATTGTCGTGATAGCGATGGAGGGTCTGTAAAAGTTTGTTTGATTGAATTCGGTGAGAATTTTTAATAAGCTTTAGGGGAAGGAAATATTGAAGACACGTGCTTAAGTATTTTAAATTACGGAGTGGGTAGTGGAGCTGTAAGAATTGATAGATGTCCTGGAAGAATCTGCTGGTAACTAAGACAAACTGTTTTAATTTCTAAAGACTGTTTTGCGTGTAGAACGCAACAGTAGCGCTACAGAGAGGAGCGTGTTCGCCGTGAGATGATCTCGGTCCGTATGAAAGAGCTACTATGCAATTTTAGATCATCATTAGCGGACACGAATCTCGGACGCAGCGTTGTCGTTGACAGTGGTGTGGGGACACGCTAAAAGGCGATTCGCTCGCATCAAAAATACCTCGTGTCCCGTTTGTACATTTACATACATGTTTATTGAACTGGCCGACGAATGAATATTCATCGAATATCCGGCGCGGTAGAGCTGAACTTTCGAAGGGTGGCCGCCATTTTAATCGGATCAAGGAAAATATCTTAACGCTATGACGTTATCGTCTCCTTTACGGGGCATGCATAATCGGGATGGAATTTAATTTTCTTTCCGGACAGCCGTGATTCTCGGTAACGTCACCTGAACCCGTTTATTAACTTTCAGCCGTATCTGCAATCTTTTTACCCGAGCAAAAATATCCACATTCTCTCCGCGAGTTCTTGTTCGCTCTTCCATCAGAGGTATCCAATACTTAACGAGACATATATTTAACGTACAAACTTAAAAACGTCAAATGAACTTATCTTTCCTTTTCCTATTCCCACACACCTTTTCCACTAGAAACACTCAAATATTCTCGATAATTATCTATATAATTAATCTTTAAAGAAAGATACGGAGACAAACCTTGCTTCAAACCTTTCCGATTCAAAACACCAACGATCCAAGACCAGGAAACATTCCACATTCATCTTCAAACACACGCGTTCTCATCGGCAGCACCCAAGCCCAAACTTCCCTCGATATCTCAACACAACGATCCTAATTCAAACGAGCGAGAGAAAAATCCTCGACGATCTCGTTGTTCGCAAACAGACGGAACGTCCAGTAGCAAGAGAAGCCCGATACCTATTCCAGTTCTCGAGCAAGATTAATTGAATCTCGGCGACATCTCGTTGCGCCTGTAATTGGATGAAAAGGTCGAGCCACGGGCTCGAGAGCGTTCGCAATTGTCGCGTCGCCGACGTGTCCGTGGAAGGATGTTCGAGCGGGGCGGCAAGGAAATGTGACGGATGGTCGGGGGCGGCAGTGCTCGTCTCTTTGAGGCGAGAAATAAGCGCGAAACGCGTGGAATCTCTGTCCGTAGCCTGCGGCGACGGTAAAGGCTGATGAAAACGCGGGGCGCGATGTTACACAGGAAGTGGTTTCATACGGCGCGCGACTGCCACGGCCAGACCATTCAAATTGCGTTTCAACTATTTCTTGTCGTTTTGCGGGGGCGCAAAAGCAGCAGATTAATTAAATTCGTTAATTGCAAGATGCATTTAGCCCGCGCCTGCCTTCCCGGCGCCTTGCGCCCTACCCGTGTCTCGCTAAATCTCTATCCCCCCCCTCATCCGGCCCGGCGTTCCACGACCCTTTTCCCGCGTTCTTTCTCTTTTCCTGTCGGGTAGCCGCGACGTGTTCGTTCCACCCCTTATTCTTCGCGCGCCGCCGGCGTTACCACGTGAATTTAGAAAGGCCACCGACAAAAGGGGTAAAAGGCCCACTTTGCACGCTCGTCCGTTGTTTCTTCGTGCACACGAAACACGCTTGACTCTTTTGCACCTGGCAACGTTAACCTTTTGTGGTCCTCGCGCCGGCCGGGGACTCGACGCAATGTTTCTTTCAACCTTTGCTGCGTGGCCTCGCTTCGCGCAGCCGAGTTAAGTAGTGGAATATTTACGAATTTATCTTGTTCTGGCATTGCGGCTTTCGGTGTGCCATCAACGCGAATGGCTCGGCCTTTTGGTAACGCTGAAGCAGCCAGGGCCCGCTAACTGTGGGATTTCGCGTGGTTTGTTGGGAGGGTAATTAGTTTTGTTTCCGAGAGACTCGCGAAGATACTGATAATTGTAGCCTGAACGAAAGAGTCGGCGTAATGATTTATTCTTCGCGCGTTGTAAACTTCCGCATGACGGAAGTTGAAACCGCGAAATTGCTCAGTTGCGTGTAATTTTGTTTTGATCAATTATGCGCGCGACAGCTCGATTTCCAGTTCGGTGAAAAAAAGGCCGGCGAAACTAATTTGGATTGCAAAGGATTAACGTCCCCCTCCACTCGGCGGGATCCGCGTGAAACGTTTACAACGGAGTTACAACGGACGTTTGTTGTTTTGTTTCATAAATCACATTCGGTAAATTGGCGAAATGGGCTCTGAGTACGGTCCCATTATTTGCGGCCGTTTTTCCCATTAAATTCAACAAAAGCTTATCGATTTTTACAAACCCGCCCAGCGAAAAACAAGTTAACCGTGGTATCGTGTGTTTTCCCCGATTAACGAGTGCAAATATTGTTGGAGCACTCTTTGGTGTTTGCGGACACAGGAATTAATGCGACACTCGAGCTCTCCGACTCAACCCCCTATCGCGACGCGTGCATTAAATACCGACGCGTCGCGAACACTATAACTGCCGTCACGGGACGAATATATTAAACGGCTTGATTGTTTATTCGCGCATGGATGCTTTTTTCTCGAATTATTGCCCGCGTGTAACGGGAGTAGCAAGCCGGGCTTGTCTACTTCGTCTATTTAACGAATTTCACGTGAAACGTTGTAAATGTCGCGCGATTTCGCAGAGAATAATTAAACTTTTTACTTCCCTGCAGTTTCTAACGAACGCGTGAAATGATAAATTGGATTTCATCGTACCGTGTCAAGTTATTGACCTTGATTGTCAAATAAACAATCTAATAGATTCTATTATTTGTGAATTGTGGAGCGATTTTTAGGTAATATCTCGATTCGGTTAGTGATTCATTTGAAACAGACGATATTCGTTTAAGCAACACTATCCAAGCTACAGAATTGTGTTCGAATTGTACCGAGTAAGAAAAATGATAAATTATCGGTATCGATAGAACACGAGGAGAAATATAATACCATTCTTGTAAGAAAGAAGTTCATCGACACTCTACAACCGAAATACACTCCCCAATGAAATATTTCCCAGCTGACTTTTTTAAAATTGAAATATTCTAACAAATACATACTCAAAACTTCATTTTACGAACCCTTGGGTGCAAAATAAAATTAAAAACCAATGAAAATCCTTCTCTAATTTTTATAAAAATCACAAGGATCCATTCCTGAAGATTTCACAGAACTTCCATCTCAGAAAGCACACTGTGACGATCTGATTTAACACCCCCCAAAAGCCACCTCTATTCCCTCAATAATTATAAAACAAATAGTTTGAAATATTTCCATAGTTCGTCCTTCTGGTTTGCCTGGTAGCTCCACTGTCATTCAGCTACAGCACTGAACAAAGGCAAAAGTCAACGAAAGATCGAAAATGCAAAAGAATTTCAAATAAAAATTTCACTGTAACAACAATACTAGTCATAATTCGTAAAATTCAATCAGTGCCGATGACGCTTACCCTGTCGCGCGGAATTTTCGCTAACGTTCAATTTGCTGTCCGCGGTGTAATTAGGCTAATAAGAACGCGCGCTCTCCGCGGATACGTTGCGCCGCTGTTTGCCCAACCAGACGCCCTGGCCAAGTGACAGAATACACGTTGCCGCGCGTTTTGATTCACAGAGGAGGACTTGATGCACGGGGGTGGTGCGGGTATTGGAGGGGGTTCTATGGTCGGACAGAACTCAATATTTGGGTGCTCGGCTGCAGGACACAGCGGGGTCAACCAGCTCGGCGGTGTTTACGTCAATGGCCGACCATTGCCAGACTCCACCAGGCAGAAGATCGTCGAACTGGCCCACAGTGGCGCTAGGCCCTGCGACATCTCGCGCATACTGCAAGTCAGCAACGGTTGCGTCTCCAAGATCCTCGGAAGGTTATATCCAGGAACACTGTACGCGGAATACAAGCCGCACGTTTCGCTATCAACCGAAAAATCGCTTTCCCTGTCCAGGTACTACGAGACCGGCTCGATCAAGCCGCGCGCAATCGGCGGCAGCAAGCCCCGCGTCGCTACTACACCGGTGGTCAACAAGATCGCCGACTACAAGCGGGAGTGCCCTTCGATCTTCGCCTGGGAGATACGCGACAGACTGCTGCAGGAGGGCGTCTGCAATAACGACAACATACCTAGCGTGAGTACACTTTTCTTTAGCGTTGATCGTTTACTTTTCAGTTAAACGAGGTCTTCACGCGTTGTAAGGGATTACAGATGTTAGCTAGTATCTTGGATAAGCTTTGTTTTAGATACCTATCTACGTGTTTCTTCTGTTCGATGAACATACATATCTTTCCTTAAAGCGACATTTAGTTAAATCACGATAATTCTGAGCCTTAGAGGATCTCCCGAAAAATTAACAGAACTCTATTAGTTTTCGATAGCGGAAGTAGAAGTTACTTTGCTAGCTATGACTTGTAATCACTTACTATATAGAAACAGAACAACTGCAGTTACAAATTACAAACTCAAACGATTCGCGAAGCAATTTCTCACAGAGCAGTAGCAGTGTCTCTTTTCCAAAGTTCAGCGTACACTTCAAAGGAGCATCCTAGATGTTATCATACTCTGCGCGAATGCTAAAAGTGACTGTCCAATCTCGAAATGAGGACCCGGACAAACCGTGTGGAGACTGCAGTGGCTCGATATCGTCGAACATTCCAGTCATTCCAGTTCGCAATTAGCAAATGACCGGCGGTTGAACCGGGCAAAGAAAAGCGCAATGACTCCGCAGGAGTGCTCCGCGCCAGCCACGGAGCCGCGCGGGTCCTCTTCATCCAGGGATACCCTGGACCCGCTTTGTATGTGGCGGCGGTTTATCAGGGTGCGCACCCGGTCGGTACTTACCCGTCGGATCTGGCCACTCGACCCTAATCAAAGTCTCGTCAATGCGATCGCCTGGGAGGGGTAATCGGTCCATTACGCGGACCTCGTATTGTCCACCCTCCGCTGATCGCCCCCCTCCTGCGATTCCGAAGAATCCTCTCCCGATCGTCCGTCTTCCAAACATCCTTCCCACCCTTACATCGATATTCGACCCCTCGAACGGTTCCGCTTGTTCGATCGCCGGGAAATGAGCCTCTTTTTTCTTTTTTAATCGGAGCTCGGTTTGCTAAAAGTTGATTCAAGCTGGTTTTTCTTGAGCACCCCGCCTCTTCTTTTCGCTGTTTAATGCTGGAACTTCGTGATCTGTTGAACCACTGCTTTCAAGATCCTTTGGTCTACGGTTGGTGAATTTGTAGGAGCGACTTCCTTGAAATTCTTATTAATCTATTCACTCGAGACACGGAGTTGACTCGTTCTTTGTTGACGTCTATATGCTACAGATTTGTTTGTTTCTTCTATGCACTTGCACGAGAAATCTTCATATTTCTGATACTTCAGGTAAATCGGCTGGACGGATTTAGAAAATTTGATTTAACCGAAGAGTTTGATCGAAAGAAGAAACTGAGAACTAGTTAAATCGATTACTTAGTTCCCTTCTAACTCTTCTAACAATGAAGCCTATCCTCTAAATTAGAATTCAAGCAAAGTTCGTATATTCAAATTTACATAGAACAACACACGATTGTTCAAAAATCTGAAAACAGTAGCTCCTTACAAAATTTCTCTCGTAAGTTCAAATTCCCTTGAACGTTAAAGATTCTGTTAAATTTCCGTTCGAATAGGCTATCAAGAAACTCGCCGCGGTTGTTCTTGAAACGATACAGTTGCCCAGGCAAGAATAAATTCTTGGCAATCAGATAATGTCCCGGCGCGGACCGCGTCACGGCCGAAAGGTCCCTCAGACCTGGTTCTATCGAAAACACTCTGTCTCTGGTGCCGCCAGCATCAGCCCCTCCGATCGTGTCTGTCAGGAATATCGAAGAGGATGGCACGCGCACGAGTCGTTATCCGACGGCTGGTCGAGGAACCACTCGCTTTGCCGGTTCTCTCGCCCATCTCTCTCCCTCCGGCCGTCTCCCTCTCACGGTGTTCGGAACAGAAGTAGGGAGGGTGATCAATCAGCCGGTGCTACGCACACAGTTTCATCCCTCTATCGATAGCATCCGCCGGGTTCGAAAAGAAACGCCGATCGAAACGTTTCAGCTTTTAACTCGAAATCGTTATAATGATCACCATGGACCGGTGTACGCGCGTACCCGGGGACTGGTAACAGCAAAGAGGATCGTGATAGGATTGTCTGTTGTCTGCTGGATTGGATGTGGACGGGGAAGGCGGGGAAGAGATGCAACGGGCCGGGGCTCGATTGTAGCGCCGACGGTCTTCATCGGTCGATCGGTTTTTGCGGTCTTTTGATCCCCACGATGAAAATGTCCCCTGTTTGTAACCGGCCGTATCTGTTGCGTTCGCGGTTATACAGAATCACCGGGGGGGCTGGGGTTATACTCGATTTGTTTTAGCGTCTGTTGTTCTTTCGTCACTGCCGGCTATTTGCAGCTTCTTTGAACGGTGCGGTAACTTCCGGATCATAGCCGAGCATTTTCTGTTGGTCATTTTCACATTGCTGGGATATTGCCGCGATACGTGCGCTCTTATATTTCTTGATGTCGGTTTTCTGTTATTGTCCGATGGGCAGCATAAAAATGAATGGGGATTTGTATCGTTCCATCTACCGAATACGAACTGTGAAATCGTAAAATATCTTTATTTCCTCTTAACGTTGACCAAATTGCATCTTAGACGAACAAACCGAAATGTACACGATAATGCGCTTTATTGTTCAGTAAGTCTAACACGATGAACATTCGAATAGAGGCACGGAAGCTCAGAAAACAAAAAAGATATCCTCTTCAACGAAGCGGCCAATAAAACCGTCTGGCGCACGCGTAGCGTAAAACCCCCGGAAACGGAAGAAACGTTATTACCATTGTCGCCGAGGATCGTTTTCTAGAAGATTAGCCGAAGGCTGAGAGTCGCACAAGAAAGTTGAGAGCGCGGGTAAAAATCGAGTCGCGACTCCGCCCTTGGTTCTTCCGAGCAACGGCGGGGGGAGGTTAATTTCCTCGTGGTCCCAGTTCCGGGCGAGAGGGTGTACCCGCTTCTCCGGCGAAGAGCCGGCAGATCGATCGTTGTCCGGGGTATCTTCGATCGGTCGGTCGGTCGGTCGGTCGGATGACGACGATTGTCTCCGGGAACGGCAACGACGTTAACGGTAATGATAGCAATGACGATGATGGCGGTGGGTAGCGTGTCGGGGCTGTTGCGGTGGGTAC